TGGGATGCTCTTCCTGCAGAAAGGGAGCGAGCACGCTTTCCAGCCCTCCTGACACTGCAAACGACCAGACCACGTGCCACCATTGGGGATGGGGCTAAGGGGCTGCTCCCCTAAGATGTGTCTGGAATGCCACTTTTGCTGACCTCTGAGTAGCACGTTTGGTTTCTGACAGTACGACTGCCTTCCTATGGAGCAACAAGTAATGAAATGCTCGCTGCAGACAGGCTGAAACACACGGAAAAGAAGTATAAAGAGGGCAAAGATGTTATTTCAAACTCTGGCTTTGGTCTCCTTTTCAGAACCTGGGTGTGGAACTCACATGAGTGGTTCCCCTCCTCCATCCCACTCTCCTTCAGCCCCTCTTTGTGGCTCTCCAGCCAGTGACCACTCTCCGCCCGGTGTCACAGCTACTCACATGCATGCTCATCCCCCCGGCCGAATCGTGAGACCCGCAGTGGCAGTGTGACGGAGGCAGCGATGCTCACCACCTGCTCCCCCAAATTTCCCAGCCACCCTGCGTCAGCTGAAGCCAGGTGACCAGTCCCAGCCAAGGGGCTGTGGGTGGGAGTGACGTGGGGCACTTGCTGGCTAAAGCACGGAAGAGTGTGTGTGTGACATTCGGCTGCCTTTCACCTGCCACAGCCACCTGAGCCTGGTGCTGAGCTGGCGGAGTTGTGAGATCAAACAGCCTGGACTGCCGATGGCAGCATGGAGGACAGACCCCGCGGAGAGTCCCCGGGCCTCCGGTGAGTGAGAGGTGAGCCTTTGCTGCGCTCAGCCTTGGGATCCTGGGGTTGTTGGTTACCGCAGCACGACCCAACCCCAGGCTCACAGAGACGGGGCTATGACGTGTATTCGCAGCTGGGATCTCTCCCCCGCAGCTCACTGACTTGCTTAGAGTCCACTCTGCATTCACCAAAGCTGATTTGGCGCACAGCACCACACACTGGGTGTGGCTGCGTTTCTGAGCTCTGCCCACAAAGTGCCATCTTCCACGCAGAGGGGCCAGAGGAGGACTCTGCCAGGGGGTGGCCGGGCCACAAGATGGCGGAAGCTGGGCACTGGAACATGGCCTTAAGCACAGCGACTGAGGGACCCGCTTCGGCCACGTGGGCTTCTCTCAGTGTGGGACGGCCCCCAGACTAAATTCCTGCATGTGTGAGACTAAACTTGCGCCAGGCCGCTCAGATGCTCAAGTCATCTCCTAGAGCAGCCGTTCACCCTAATGTACAGCACGAATGCTCGGGTGACCCGCGCAAAGGATGCCAGGGCAAAGTAGGAGAGTTTTAAATCCGTCAAGAGATCCTGTAATTCCATTTCTAGGAACATATTCTAAGAAAATAGTGTGATAGATTCATGATAGTGTATGTCTATGCAAGGACATCCAGTGTTATTTAATAGTGGAAAATACTGGAAAGCACCTAAATGTCCAAAAAATAATCACAGTAAACCTACAGGATCCAGTATCTTGAATCCATTGAGTAATTGTGGCTTTAAAACCTATTTAATAAGACATAATAAATAAAAAAACAGAACAGTTCCCCTGTGTACACAGCATATGGAGCGTGTGTCTGCTGACACACACGGGGAAACAATGGAATGAAACAAGCCCAACACCGGAGCGATTCTCTCTGGGCAGCAGGATTGGAATGCGTCGTTTAACCTGGGCTCTCAGACCTTAACGCGGAGGCATTTGAGGAACACAGAGTCCCACTTCTACCCTGGAACCCTGCCTGCCGCCATCCCCACTCACAGGGGCCGCCTGTGCCCGCTCACCTCCCGCAGGGTGGTCAGCGTCCTCGTGTGCACGATGACCTGCTTGGTGAGGTCCCTGTTGTCCTTCTCCAGCTCCTTCAGCTTGCCGGCCGCGTCCCTGCAGCGGGCCAGCTCGCGGTCCAGCGCGCGGCTCTCCTTCTCGGCAGCGGACAGCTTGGCGGTGCTGTCGTCCAAGACCGCGTCCTTCAGCTCCACCTGCTGCCACAGCCGCTTGGCCTCCTTCTCCAGCAGCTTCTTGTCCTTCTCGAGCTGGGCCACCTCCTGCTCCAGGGCCTTCTTGTCCCTCTCGGCCCGCTCCAGCTGCACGCCGGCCAGCCGGAGGGCCTCCAGGTCCCGGCGCAGCGCCTGGTGCTCAGCCTCCAGCTCGCCCAGCTCGCTCTCCAGGGCCTGCGACCTGCGGCCGCTGCTCTCCAGGCTCTGCTGCAGCCGCAGGTTCTCGGCGCTCACGCTCTGGTAGCTGAGCTCCAGGCGCTCCGACTTCTTGCCCAGCGCCTTCAGCAGCTCCACGTTCTTCCTCAGCTCCTCCTTCTCGCGCTCCAGCTGCTGGTTCTCCCTCTCGATCTGCGCCATCTTGGCGCTGGTAAAGCGCATGGCCTCCACCATCTTGCGCAGCTCCAGGTTCTCTGCGTCCAGCTGCTTGTTGTCGCGCTCCAGGTCCTCGAGCTGCACCGACACGTTCTGCAAGGTGTCCAGAGACTTCCTCAGCGTCCGGTTCTCCAGCTGCAGGCCCTGGCTCTCGTGCTCCAGGGCCGTGGCTTTCTCGGTGGCCGTCTCCAGGGAGGTCACCTTGCTGGCCAGCTGCGCGTTCTCCTCCTGCAGCCGCTGCAGCTCCCCCTCCAGCTTCTCCGCCCGCTGCCCCTTCTCCCTGGCCTGCTCCAAGTCCTTGTGCAGCTGCTGCTTCTCGAACTCCAGCTGGCTGAGTTTGCTGCTGGCCTCTGTCACTGTCTGGTGGAGGGCTTTGTTCTCCTTCTCCACGTCTTTCACGCGGGCCTCGCTGCTGACCTGCGACCTCTCCCGCAGCGACCACACTGCTCGGTTGAGGTGGTCCTTTTCTTGCTCAAGGTCCTTGATCTATGGGAAAACACAACAGGCAAAACCCAGGCTGCTGTGAGAACCTATTACAGTGATGCGGTTCACACCAGGGGACTGGAAAGCAGAGGCCTTGAAGGACCGACCATCCTACCTGTGCCCAAATGCTATGACGCTCCCCAGAGGCCTGACGTAGACTCAGGTGAGCAGGCGCAGACAAAATTGCTTAAGACAGTTCAACTCAAAATACGCTCAGAGCAACCAGGATGGCTTTAAAATGTAACCTACATCTCTCTCCCTCACTTGAAAGTTTCAGCGATTTCCCTTGTACTTTTGGTCATGGGACCAGGACCCTGATGACTGGGCCCTGCCCACCTCTGTGGCCTCCTCTTAGGCCACTCCCAGCCCCTTCCTCCCACAGACACTTTGCACATGCTGTTCCCTCTGCCTGGAGTGCTTTCCCTAGGACTCCAGCCCCACCAGCTGCTTCTCATCCTCAGGGTGGGGTCCACAAAGAAGCCTTGCGTGACAGCTCTGAGGTGGCCCTGCACCCCAGTATTCTCTCCCTCAGCAGCACACACCTGAGATCGCCTCACCTGTTACCTTTGCCTTCCCAGCTGAGCTACACCTGGGCAGGGCCCCGCCTGTTCACCATGTGCAGGGCCATCCCAACCCTCTCCTCCCGTTCACTCCTCTACCTCAGAGGCTGAAAAACTAAACCCTCAGTACTCCCTCCTCCCCTGCAGACAGAGGCAGTCACGCGTCAGCTGGCTAAGGCGACGTGTCCAGAGGGTCCTCAGGAGGACCTCCCTGTGCACCTCCCTCCTACCTGTACCTTGGGGTGTGCGGCAGCCACTGCTAAGGCCGGCAAGGCAGTAAGCGAGAGGCCTGGTTCCCGACGGCATCACTGAGCCACTGCATAGCCCTGGGCTGCCTACCCTGGGACTTCTTGGAGGGTGGCAAATAAAATCATGTAGGTTTGTCAGGGTTCTCGGGACACCATGGACATGCACAGCCGGATCGTTCTTTGTCATGGAGAACTGCGTTATGCACTGTGAACATCTGGCAGAATCCTTGGCCTCTACCCACTCCCTGCCAGGAGCACCAACGCTCTTCTCCCCCAGGTCGTGACAACCAAAAATGTCTTCAGATTTCGCCAAACGTCCCCTGGGGGACGAAACCCAGCCACCTTTCCCCACTTGTCAGTTGAGAAGTGCTGGTTTAAGCTGCAGCCAAGCGAGGTGACTGATAGCCCGCGCACCCGTGACGCATTTCCAGGACTGGCCAAGATCCTCAGCTCCCCTCTCCCAGGCAAGGCTCCGGGGGAGGCCCTAGCTGTGGGGACACCCACCTGCCGGGCCCTGTTGGCCTTCAGGGCCTCCATGTCGCTCTGTAGCTGCTCCTTCTCTTTGATCAGCTCCTCGCTGAGGGTCTCCAAATCCTGGTTGCTCTGCTTCTCTCTCTCCAGCTGGGTCTGTAACTTCTCGATCTGCAGAGCCCACAGACCCAGCCCGGGGCAGAAGTCAGTCTCGCCAGGTGAACCACGTTTTGGAACAAAACCAAACCCTCTCAGCCCCACAGAACACTTTAAGGAAACTTTACTCAAGGAAATCTCCCAGCGTGGTTCTGTGGACCTCCTGGCCCTTGACCTTCTCTCCTAGAGAGGAGGCCATCAGGCACGGATCTGTCCCCAGCCTCCCTCTGCCTCTTCCAGCCTCCTGTGCTCCACTGCCCAGGTCCGCCGACGCTGGGCACCCGACGGTACCTCACTCACCCATCACCCTGTTCTCCTCCCTGAGACTCCCTCCTTGCCTTAGTAGGTGACGTCACCCAGCTGCTCGAGTGGTCCTCCTTCCTCTTCCACCTCCATGCAAGTTTGTCACCATGGCCCCGTCCTTCCTATCCATTCTGTACCCGCTAACACCCCACTGCCTCTGCTCCAGGCCCCGCCACATTCCCTCCTGCCTGGACAGCTGCCCAGGGATCCCCCCGACACCAGGCTCCTCTGCTAGAATCCACCTGTGCCCCACCCCCCCAAAGAACAGGGCCTGAGAATCTGCATTCGACGTAACCCTAGCGACCCTGGGCTGCTGGTTTGGGAACACTGCTCTAAAACTATGGTTCTCAAGGAGGACAATCTGGGGAGCTCTGGGAAACTGACCCTCAGGCCGAAGTTAAATCAGAACCTCTGGGGATAGATCCAGAGATGCCCAGGCGACCCTGGTGATTAGTCCGGACTGAGACGCTGCTCTAAATCAGCTTGCCGGGGTGGGGCCTGCACGGAGAGGTTTGCAGAGATCCTCGGGTGACACTAAGGCTCACCGTCTAAGGTAACTCAGCCTCGCTTCTCTCGTGAGGGGCCGCCAGCTCTCCTGCCGCCCAGGTCTGTGCAGTCTCGACCCTCCACAGGAGGGTGCAGGCGTAGAGTCCACCAGCGGGCACGGGTGGGCCCGGCAGGGCTCAGACCCCGTTCCCTGCCCCAACCTGGGGAACCCCAGGACAAGAGTGCCTCACCCCTCCAGGCTGCCTGTGGGTCCTTCTCAAAAGTGAGACTCTGTTTATCTTCCCCGTTTCCCAGCAGAAGGCCTGGGGCCCAGTGGGAGCCGGAGCTCGCCTCCAAGGAGCCCGCCTGGAGAGCACAGGTCAAATGCAGGAAGCAGCAGTGGTGCCCACTCTCGCTCCCAGGGGGGCCTGCCCCGTAGCCCCCAACCCCGCCCCGGGCTAGGCTGGCGCAGGGTCTGGCTGTCTCGTCTCCCCACTTGCTGCTAATTCTTGGCCCCTCACCCCTGCTGCCCCTTCCTTCCCAACCTTTACGTTTCTGACCATTGCTGCTTCTGGTCTAAAGATGTGGGTTCCCGGATCCCACCCACCACTGCCGGACCTCATGTTTCTCCTTCTGTGGTGCTGTGCCCCACACTCCTGTCCACCCCCAGAGGAGCCAGCGCCCCTGAGGAGCTGACCGTGCAGAGACGTGAGCTGGCTGCAGGCCTTCTGGCCCCAAGGGGGTTTCCCGTCCCTCCCGAAGCCCCTGGCTTGGGCTACGGGCTCCTGTGGTTCGCCTCTGGGTTCGCAGGGCCCCGGGGCTGCTATGTCTCCAGATGGGCTGCTCCTGACTCCTTGTGATAAGCCCCCAAAGGGTTGCCCCTCTTCCCCTGAAAATGAGGATTCTTTCCTTCTCGACTCAAAGATGGCACTCTTATGAAATCAACACAAAATTCCAGACACAGGAGGGAGACAGCTTCTCTAGGACCCATGGAGGTGCCACAAGTTAGATGAAAGATGTTTTAACTTCGGGGAACTATGATTTCCACTGGTGTCTCAGACCTAAGCCAGCTCACAGCCTGGGCTACGCTCAGGGTGAGTTAGGAGAGCTGGGCTGGCTCCCGGGGTCCCCTGTGGGGCTCAGCGGGGCCTGGTGGGCTCACTTACGGACTGAGAGATGCTAGCCGGGTGGCTGAGGCTGGGGAGAAGAGCTCAGGATGGGCTGAGCTGGCCGAGGGGTGAAGCGGCCAGAGTGCGCCCCTCCGCTGGTGCTAAAGTGTTACTCCGTCAATACCGGGAGCACCGCTGTGTCTTACCGTCCCCGACCTGGGCCAGTGTCAGGACAATAAGACAGTGCAACATGTACAGAGGGTGAAAGAACCACCCTGCTGGGTCGGGCCGGATTCCAGCCAGGCCCAGGGTGGGCTGAGCAGGACAGGGAGGAGGCAGGACAGCTCTTGCCTGGGAATGGTGGCCCCTCCCTTCCGGCCCTCCCAATCCCCAGCCACCAGGGAGTCTGCACCAAGACGTGGCCTCCCAAGGGCCACACCAGGAGAGGGCTGGTGTCGGGCCAGAGAGGCAGGAGGGTGGGACCCGAGGGACGGGGGCGTAAGGAGTCATGCTGGGTGGGCAGAGGAGGGGCCACAGCAGACGGGCTGGGGTGGCAACACGCCTGAGAGCCACCCTTACAGCCTGCTGGGAGGGGACCCACAACGGCCCTGGGCCAGCGAGATTACACTGCAGGCTTTCCGGGGCAGAGCTGAGAGGACCGGCAGAGTTGGAAATTCTCATCTTCCTAAAGGTCAATTCTGTTTTACCGTGGCCAGGGGTGGACTGCCATGTATGAAGTCATTTCCTGTGCCGGGCCCACGTGAACCTAAGACCGTCCAGGCACTTTCCCCACGCTGCCCCGCATCAGAAGATGTGGCCTGAGAAGGGGGTGTTTTGTGCTGTCCTACAAAGAGACGACAAACCACTCGGCAGCTCAAACCCTGCAAGGTACACAGTGCTTCCAAGGGACCAGAGTGAACAGCACGCACAGCAGGGGACGTCCCAAGAGGTGAGGAAACAGCAAAGCAGGACCAAGGGGACCCAGGAATCCTGCCTGCAGCCCACACTCCTCCCGCAGCCTGTGATGCCTCAGGTTATGCCACTGCCAGGACTCAGGGCAGGTTGGGAGACACCCGCAAGTGCCAGTCGGACATGGTGCTCAGCCAGCAAGAGGGTCTCGCCTCCTCCCTTGGCTGGAATCTGCCAGCTGGCGTGTCCAGAGCCAACCATGCACCTGTGCCACCCTCGGTGTGGACCAGGTGGATCTGATGTCCTCTGATCCTATAGGCAACCCCCAGCCTCCCAACGGCCTGAGACCGAATCAGCCGCCTGAACGGGGATCCCCTAACTGCAGAACAGGACCGGCCTGTAAACGTGTCTGCTCTCCCGGACGTCTAGGTTCCACTGTGCGACCAGGGAGACCCAGCAGCTGTCCTTAAAAGCAAATGCAGTTCGGCTGGCTCTTCTTCCCTGTCCCATAAACCAAGAGGAGGGACTCAGCATGGACTTCCTCGTTTTACCACCAGCAAGACCCTAAAATGCTCCTCAACAGTCTCACACACACACACACAGCTCCGCATCTGGAATTCGGAACCTCACATTACTGTTTCTGCTCCCTTCCCTACTTCACGCCTGTTAGCAGCACACGGCTGTCTTCACTGAGCGCTTACTCTGTGCAGACCCCTTACTAGCTCCCGCCACCCTCACACGCCCGTTAGGTGATGTGACACAAGAGGAAATGCATATGCGGTCTCTGCCCACGTTCCTGGCACGAGCTCCTAAAACCCTTGGAATCTCCAAAGTGACAAGTGTCTTTCATGTATGCTAGTGAGACGTCCAGGGCTGGGGGTTCCTGGACAGCCTCAGGATGGTGGCTGGTTGCCAGGGGAACCAACCACGTGATTAGAGGGTTGGAACTTTCAGCACCCCCCACTCCGGGGAGGACAGAGGGGCTAGACGTGGAGTTAGCCACTAACGGCCAGTGATTTATCAACCATGCCTATGTATACAACCCCAAAGGGCAAGGTCAGAGAGCTTCCAGGTTGGTGACCACGTGGAGGCGCTGGGACGGGGAGACCCAGAGTGGGTGTGGGAGCTCCCCAGGCCTGCACTTCTATCCTACCTGGCTGCTCCCGAGCTGTGCCCTTTACAATAAGCGAATACACTAAGCCGTCCTAGCAAATGGTGGACCCCAAGGAGGGCAGTCTGGGAACCTCTGATTTAGTCAGTTGGAAGCACAGGTGACAAGCCGGACTTGGACCAGCATCTCAAGTGGGGGGCAGTCCTACAGGACTGAGCCCTCAACCTGTGGGGTCTGCGCCAACTCCAGGTAGACAGCGTCAGAAGCGAGTAAGACTGGAGGAC